GCATTTTCTTGGGCACTTGGTTCAACTTCTTCTTAAATAGAAGGTTCCGTTTTAGAAGGTTCAACTTCTTCTTCAGTATCAGTCCAATCTATTGAAGAATAACCGTTTCTTATTAGACACCTACAACCCCATCATTCTCAACTCTTTCACTAGATGGAAAGGTAGAAAAGGAACCTAACCCTAGATCTGAATTTTTTGGTTGTGCAGTTAAAGAACCATCAGATTTCCCATGTGCATTAAAAGACTCACCAACTTGACTTAAAGATTGACTAATTTGGCCTTCAGTGGAATCCACATCCTCTAGAATAGAGTCATGACACACATAAATATCTATTGTGTCCCCATCATGCATAAATAATGCTTTATTACAAATGTCCATGTCGTTTTCCAATTCCGCCAAATCACCCCCTAGAGATGGAACTACATACGTTTTTTCTAACTTACTAATTCCAAAAGACTTAGCATAATCTGTAAGTTCAGGAATTGACAAATGATCTTCATCCACATTCTGTACATATTCAGCCTTACCCCCACCATATACTGAACCTACCTCACTCACCAAAATACCCCCAAATTTGAACCTTAAATTGCGGTACTTAGTAGCCATAGTGTCAACCTATAACCACAATAATAATCAATATGTTGTACAAGGCAATAACAACAAAATAGAGGTAACAACACCAAAACATCGACAACAACAGTAAAACAGAGGCAACAAACCCAAAATATTTATTTTAATCATAAGCATACAATTATACAAGGAAATTTCAATAAAATTATAATATTTTAACAATACGAAAACATAATAGATGAATTGGAACCCCAAAACCCCTAAAATATTGATTTTACTCAACAACATACAAATCAACATAAGAAAATTACAAAAAAAAACCCAACATTTAACAATACCAAGATAGATATTGAAATCAGAACCCTTAAATCTTAATTTTACTAAACTTTTTGGAACTAATTACCAGAAACCCTAATACTCATGCATGCATAAGCTAAACAAGTTCATAATAATACATTTATTAAGTAAAAATTCTAGTTGAAAACTATCAAACCCTTAATTGAAAGATCAATCGGAAACTATGGCGAAACCCTAGTCGAAGAATATGGCGTAACCTTAAACGAAAAATATGGCAAAATATAAATGAAAAAGTAAAGAAAACAAACAATAACACATCATAAGAGTGGATAATCACTTACTTGGTAAGAATTTCAGACAAGATCGAAAAAAATTGACCAAACGCTTCACAAAATCGAGCAAGAACTTCACGTCTAAGAACTGCAACTGACCCAAATCCAAAAAGAGTTCCACGAAATCTGCCCTTTACTCCGTTGATTACACTTCTTAGTGAACCAAAAGGTTTGAAATCTGCCATTTACTCCGTCGATTACACTTTTTAGAGAGAAGATTAGTCTGGAAGTTTTTAGCTTAGTAAGAAGTTTGACATTTATTTATCTAGGTGGCTAATATTTATCCAACTAGAAATCCACATCACCATTTTTGTCAACATGTCATGCGCGTGTAGACACGATTGGAGTGGTCGGACCATACATGTGTACGTGATGGAAGAATAAACAAGTTCAGGGGTAATTATAACGAAATATAGTTTAGGTGTACACTGAATAAAAAGCTTCAAGTTCAGGAGGGTAATGATCATGTTTGCCTATTTTAATGTATCGTATACTTCATCACTTTCAAGTATCTGAGTCAGAGTTCCAATTTTTTTAAAGTTCAATTTTAGGGTTTAATTTGTTTGATTTTTTTCTTTCTCCAAACCATTTTAATGGCTGACAATTTACAAAATAGTATGATTCTTGTTAAAAGTATTTCACATTAACAATAATTTTTCAATTTAAGCACTTTTTATTCGTTTGTTTTCATTAACTATTTTTGAATGATTGCAGGGTTTAAATCTTCATCCGTCAACATCCAAACCAAAAATAGATCTAAGTATAGAAACGACCCAATTAAAATGGCAGAATTATGCTAAACTTGAATTAACATATCAGATATACAACTAAACTCATATACACACGTTTAGTGCAACAATGCGCGATGGAGTCTAACGTACATGTTTGGTTCATGAAGATACATACATACATAATCAGACACACTCATAAAAACTAGATACATATAATCATATCTCAATTATGTACCAAATATATCAATTGGGCCTTCCGACTTTCTAATCGCCTCCGCGATCCAGGCGGTTTCTCCGTCGTAGATACGATTTCCGAAGTTGCCAAATCCAACGACGCTCATGTTATTGGCCATTTGAAAAAGAAAAAAAACTCGAAACTTGAAGATACAAAGGAAGTAATTGATGAAGAAGATGAAGTTTACAATTTTAGAATTACTATGCTTTATGATTTCGATATTTTAGGAAAATTGATAAGAGTTGATACGAAAGGATCCTCTAAATCTATTTTGGTTGTTAATTACTCATTATTAACTCCTTTAATTAAGAAAATAAGTTACACCCTTTAATGCAAAAGTAATAAATAACGTATCTCGCCTATTAAATTTGATGGATACATGCGTCTGACGAATCATGAAATATGTATCCAAATGCAAAAAATAATATAGAAAGTAATATAAAAACTATCGAAAATCCTAGTAATTAGGATCTAAAGTAGTGAGATTTATGTAGTTTGCCCTAATTTTTTCATGTGGTAAAAAATCTCTCAATTAATATTTCAAGAAAAAAATAATCTTTTCCCTACTTTCAACAAAATTAACTATATTTTATTAGTTTATTACTAAATATATTATCTTTTATAGACATTTTCTATCTAAAACTCTGTATAGTGTCAAGTAAAACTAAAATCAGAAGTTATAGAGACTATTTGAATCAATTTATTTTAAGTATATTAATATCAAAATAGTTTCTTGAGAAAAGGGTTTGATATGCCGCTTAATTTTGTTGTTTAAAATTGATATGTTCTTTATATTTAGGAAAGAAGACCCCTCCTTAGAACTACCAATGCCCCAACCCCAAACATAAATCCACCCTCTGATACTTTCTCCTGAGCCACCACAGCCACCGGACGACCAAATAGCCACGGAGAAAGACCCTCCTCCCATCAAAAAATTCTCTAAGGAAATCTTACAAGACAAAAATAAGGGTCTGAATAAAATTTATTTGGACCAAGCCAAAGAACAAATCTCCCTCAGTGGGGGTCGACCCAAGCGACTAAATCTCTCTATCAGGGGAGGAAAAGGCAAGAATCTACCTCTTGTGAAAATATGACAGTGACCATCAAGCCGATAGAGAAAAAAAAGTATCACACCAATACCTAAAAAATAAGCTCACTGAACGATGGAAACCCACCAAAGGACCGACTCTAATCGACCTGGGATGTGATATTTTCATAGCAAAATTCAGTTTGCTCGAAAACATGCAGAGAGCACTACAAGAGTGACTAAGGTTCATATTGGAAAACTTCCCATCGGTAAGGAAATAGAACCAAACTTCGTCGCATAAGAGTCTACCATTTCTCACAATGCCATTTGGATTAAACTTTCCCAATTACCAACTGAGTTCTATGATAGAATCATACTTGAAAAGATTGGTAGGAAATTAGGTGCACTCCTAAAAATTGGCACTTGCACTTCCGCCACACTAGAGCACGTTATGCAAGAATATGCATCCAAGTCCCAATAGGCGTACTGGTAAAAATGATTAAAATTGACAGCCACCTTCATGAGGTATTGTACGAAGGAGAAGGAACATTATGTACTGGGTGCGGGTGAATTGGTCTAGAGGGAAGAGAACACATAGTCACAGGTAAAATTATTCGATGCCAAGTCAGGTAAATTCTGCAACCCTCTCCAACAAATTCTAACCACTGTACTTGCTCATTTAAGTATTCTACTAATGAATCTTAGGTAAACGTAAACAATGGATAGAATCGGAAAACAACAACAAAGTAGCAATAATAAAGAGCTCAAGTACCTTGAACTCAAAAAAAGGCAAAAACATTTATGAGGATGGTCCACACCTGAAGAAAATGCGTCTTCTGCAAAAGGAATGGATTCCCCCAACAAAAATACGCTTCCCTCTCCACATTAACTACTAAGGACCCCACTATTGGTATTAACTCAGTTATTGTCTCTAAAGCCATGAGAGACTCTGCATCTCCCTCGAGGGAAAAAGTAACTGTCGCCACTCGTAACGAGTACCCTTTCTTCACAGCGGGAAGTAATCATCATAATCTCAGTTCAGATGTGACCATGGACATCGCGTCAATTAACTACAACGCTCCAATAATCTCAGTCCAGATGTGACCATGGACATCACGTCACTAATAGACATAAGAAATATGAAAATGAATAGAAAATAACTTTAACCGTAGACATACTTCACAACATTATAAGGGAGATATCGATACGATAAAGTATGGAATAATCAACTGAATCCTAATGCCCTTCATAGCGGGTCTTCCTCATTCAATAATTTGTAAGTTTTACAAAATATCGTGCGGTCTAAAAAAAGAATTTTACTTTAACATACATTAAATACGAACTTAAATAACTTGAGATAGATAATCAATTTTCTTTTGATAATCTAGCATAACGTCGATATATTTGTTTCTTCCGCAAAATCCTTCCAGTGTTCCATTCATATATATCTAGAAGCACATTTCATGTCTCTTATGTTCTCTAAAGCTTAATTTAATATATATTACAGATTTATTATATTGTTATATATTATAAATAATAATAAATAAAGAATATTGCTAATTTCCTTAATTTATTTATTGAAACGTACTCATCGACTATTTTTTGCAAAAAAATGGAATCAAATCAACCCACCTAGCCCCAAATTTGAGAAGAGTACCTTAGCATCAATCGATTATATTCCCTTAAACCCATTGAAGGTTTATAAGAGAAAACCAGGACTTATTTGAGCACAACTTTCAGATGGACTAACCTTCCATTTTTGATGTTCTTCTTCTAAGCAGCTACTTCTCTACAGTGCTACTTGCTAAAATGGTTTCTTCAATTGCCACTAAAATCCCACTTTGCCTACACTCATCAACCCTCAATCACAACTCGAATGTTGTTCACCCCATTTCCCTCAAAACCCTTTTTCTTCCTCCCCTTTACAGTCCCAAAACCCTGACTACTCTTTACCCCAAGCTCCAAGCAGCTTCCAAATCCCAAAATTCAGCTATTTTAACCTGTTCTTGGAAACCCCAGAAAGTAATTTCCAAGTTTTTCAGTGAAAAGATTGTTTTTTTACTTGTTGGGTCATTCTTGTTTATGGGTATAAGGGCTAAACGTGTATTCTCATTGCCACAACCAGTTCAAGGAAGTAGTGTTGTTGAGACCCAAGAAGGAGATAGTGAGGAAGAAGTGATGTGTATGAAGTTGTTGGAGAAGAATCCGAAAGATGTTCATGCTTTGAAGACTATTGTTAATGTGAAGATGAGGAAAGGGAAGACTAAAGAGGCTTTGAAGTATGTGGAGAAGTTGATTGAGGTTCAGCCTACAGAAATGGAGTGGAGGCTTTTGGAGGCTCTTTGTTATGAGATGATGGGGCAGTTAAGTAAGGCTAAGAGGTTGTTTAAGGAGATTTTGAAGCAGAAGCCTCTCTTGCTTAGAGCATTGCATGTATGGTTCCTAAACCCTGTTGTGTTTTAATGGAATTTCTATTGAGATATCCTTAGATGCTTTCTTTTTTTGGTGTGTGTGTTTATACACTCGTTTATATTGCATTAACACCATGTGTGAGTTGAGGAGGATTAGATAATATTTGTCTTAACTTTTGAGTAATTCTTGTTAATGGTTGTTGTTAATGATATTGGATGTGCTTATAAAACATTGTTGAGTGAAAAAACACTAGAGGTCATGTAAATATCTTGTTGTGTAGAACTTTGTGCCTTAAGACACTGAATGGCAGACCTAACAACCACTATGTGTTTTTTTATTCCTTTTCTTATTGTTTGTTGTGATGTATGCTGGTTTGACTCGAGTCAATGATTCGTTTAGTTGTGATATTTTGTGACTGTCAAATTCGCAATGGAGAATGTCAATAACCTAGTACTTATTTGGATATCTATCTTATGGTTTGAAGGTTGAACATGGATTCTCGAATCTAAATTATGTGAAAGTTTCTGCTCTCTCATGATAGATGTTGGATATGATATCCATTTTCTTTATCAAGTCAATGGCATAGTGACAGTCACCATATCATTAGTTATCCAGATCGTAATTGAGCAATGCATTATTGTGAATTGATATTCTGTAAACACTGAGAAGAAGGATCATGTAGCTGGCTGGAATGCCTTGGTCTATACAGTTTTACATGACTAAAAAATGCAGGTCTAAGTGCCTTGGTCTAGACTGTTTTACATGACTCAAGAAAAAATCCAGTTTTTGTTCTTATCTGAATTTGTAAAATTCACCAGTAACTACATTTGAAGCCCAAGAAATTTGGTAAAGTTTGTGTAAAAAGCTGTTTTCAAATGGGTAACCATGCAATAGCTGAAAATCCTGTCTCTCTGTTGAATTTTTCAAGTCACCTTTGTTGACTTCTTGTTCTATGGATGTGGCAATAATTGGTTCCCATTGATGTGGTATTTAGTGGACTTTGTCCTTGATAAACTGAGGACTGATAAGGAATCATTGCTCCAGAAGCCCGTTGGCTTTACTGGCGGTGCTAACCATGCTCTTTCTGAACACTAGGGGTACTACCTGGTGTAATGAAAAATCAATGCTCAAGAAACACATGATGAATTGTTTTAGAATTGTGCACTTGTATGAAGTCTATCATGATGTTTCATATAAGGTAAGCTTTGACGCATTGTTATTAAAATACAGATCAAGCTTCCTTGAGGGGAGCAGTTCTACATTTGTCAGTTAATCTATAGTGTTATCTAACTTTGGATCCTTAGGGTTTACTATGCCTTCAAATTGTTGTTTCTTGTATAACTTTAGGCTATTCAGTTATATACTTGCAGTGGATGCCAATCTGAGACGAGAATATTTTGAGTTCAGTTATGTCATTTTCAAATACCATTCCTATTGGAATGAAGAATCAATTCTTTGAAGGATAGCTACAAATTTTCAGCGTGGAGGAGGAGAATAATTTAAGTGCAAACATATATATCTAAGCGGTGAACTTTGTAAGTAATCAAAATCAATAATGTATCTGTATTAAGTGATGACACTAATCAATTTGATGCATCCTGGATATGAGTATGATGTGTGTCAGAAATAGTGGTCAAATTTTAGGTAGTCTTTTGTGTATTTCGAATCACCACTATGTCCTACCTGTTTGTCACTGGTATGTCCAGATCAAGGAGGAGTCCAGACAACAAAGAACAGGTGTCATGCTGTTTCTGATTTCTTCACTATTTTCTCTTCACATCTATAATTGAATGGGCATGCAATTTTAGGCAATGAGTTCGAATATTTTGCTTATGTTTGCTTGACCCATTTTCTTTCGTTTGCCACTAGTAACTTGTTATGCTTGCTATGAACATTTCATTAGAAGTAGAAACATCCCTTCTCAATTATTATAAGCCTTTGCTTATTAAGCTTATCTATTGAATTGTTCCAGGGTTTAGCTATGGTGATGCACAAAAACTTTGAAGGTCCCGCTGTATTTGAGATGCTAAATGATGCTCTAGAAGTTGCTCGCCAGGAAAAAAGAGTCAATGAGGAAAGAAACATAAAAATATTAGTCGCACAAATGCATGTTGTTAAGGTAATGGCTTGAAGTACACCTGCTAAATCTGATTTCTTTAGTGTGACATTTATCTGTTACATCAAAAAGAGTTACTCAACTCTCATGAGGGGCCATGTAAATCATGATATCCTTCCACTATTAGCATATGTTTTGTAGCTTGTCTGCTGTAACATTTGTGCCTAAGTCAATGCATTAAGTGTAACAGAGATGTCTACCTTGTTTGCTTTATAATGATTCTATTGGATATCCCTAGAGTCTGATGTAACATTGATGTACAGATTGGAAGAGAGGCAGTGTAGTTGGGTAAATGGTGAAAGTCTGGCCACTTGCATGATGGTCTTGTTTTGCGGGTAATAGGTTGTCCGAGCATGTTGCCTTTTCTAAGTTAAAGAGGTTGTTTTTGTCAGTGAAGGTCATGATAACACCAATTCTCATCCTCATGGTCAATGTTTTGATGGTTAGAGGACCCAGTTCCAGCTAGTTCTCGCCTGTCTATTTTAAAAAGGGAAGAATAAAAAAATGTTCAGCCTAGTTCTCCTCTCTTACATTCATTCATGTCTTGCAGGGTGAGTTAGAAGAGGCCTTACAGAAGTTTAAACTTCTTGTCCAAGAGAACCCGAGAGACTTCAGGCCTTATCTGTGCCAGGTATTTGTGTTCTGTTTTTTCCACAGCATATTACTTTATAAGCTTCAGTTGTTCTTGAATTGTAAGCTTTTGAAAAGGATATGTTAAGAATAAGCAAATTGTAGCTCTGTTAATCAGCATAAACTTCTGGCTAAATGTTCGTGCATCCTTGTATACTCGAGTGGCCCACTGTAATACTTTAGAGCTTTTGATAATTGATCTTGTAATTTGATCAAGGTTGGAGATTGAACCAAGGTTCACATATTATGAGATTTGGTAATACACTAATACTGAGAAGAATGGTGATAAAATGCTGTTTAATATGTACTCTATGCAATGCTTGATATACTCTGGATTAGATTCTAAGTCACTGATAAACATGGTCTCAGGCAACAAAAGATTTTAGTAATTAAATGGATGGCAAAAAGATGGCAAAGCAAGTTTATTGCATAGTGAGGAAAGGCAGATGCATGGTTAAGCAATAACCATGTGTCATGCATATGCAGCAAGATTTGCTCTCGAGTGTAATTAATTCCTATTCATGTGATGATGCATGTTTTCTAAAAGCTTAATGCTGGGGCAGTCAACCCCATATATCTTTGTTCTTGAATCTTACTGTGTTTGGTACTTGGTGACAGGGAATAGTCTACAGTTTGTTGGACAAGAAGAAAGAAGCCGATGAACAGTTTGAGATTTATCGAAGTCTGGTACCCAAAGAATTTCCTCAGAGAGGTTTCCTTGATGATGTTGTGTTGGCTGCAAAGACAGAAACTAGGGAACAACTTGAGAAGGAGTTCAAGAATGAATTCTCTTACAAGACATGAAAAGCCATGCCTAATTATCACATTTTCAATTTGGTCATGACTGGATGGTTAAGGGTGTATGGAGGGGGTGGTCAGAGGGTAGGATAGAATTAAAAACAATGCTAATGTAGACATACAATATAGTTGAAATATGAAGTTTAGTCTCCCTTGGAAGGGGAGTGAAGTTCTAGGACAGTACATTTTTGTGTTATCTCTTTTGTTGATATTTCTTGTCTTTGGTAATCGAGAAATCCCCGAGGCCTGCTGGCAGTTCTATATTCGATGGATAATTGATCCGCTCCTCTAACTCTCTCCTCTTAAACCTATATTTCATTTGTCCGGCTCTTACCATTTGATCAGAGCTATGCTCTCTGAGGGTAAAACAATTCTTAGTTTGTCTCTACAAATAAGAAAGCAGGAGTTCTCAAATATGCTTATCCATTCTTGTATTAATAAAATTACTAGACATGGTGTTACAATATAATGTGCATATTTTTTTAATAACAATTAAATAAATTGCTCAATTTAAATACAGCTCTCTACAAACTTGGGTATTTTTTTTAGAGTAATTTCCCTAAATAGTCATCCATGTTTGGGAAATTACCTAGTAATATCACTTATGTTTGTTTTAGGACTACAATATCATCCAACTTTACATATTTTCCTCAAAATATACTTGACACAAAAAAAAATCATCTCTCTCCTAATGGAATGCCATGTCACATTATTCCTTTTTTATTATTAATAATTTTTTAAATTTTATTTGACAACCCATATATTATACCCAATAAAAAAAAATTACATAGCGCCAATATTTTGAACCCTAGTTCTGGGGGATTCAGAGACAAATTCATTTTTTTTAAAAATATATTGCTAAAATTATCTGGATTAAGATAATTAATTATTTTTGTATTAACCTAATTGAGACTTTATAAGTATCCGGCTATAAATGCTATGTGTATAAAAACAAACTACCTAATAAAAATTATATATATTTTATTTTTGTCTTCACCTATATGGAGATTTTTTTTCTAATATCTGTTACAATTATCCAAGTTTACGTCCAGATCAGATTAATTAAAATATACTTTATGCCACAAAAACATAAAACACACATAGACACTTTATTCTCAATCACACATCCGAATCATAATTTAATTTAATTTTTCAAAATATTAAACTTAAAAATTTAATTATTTATATATATTTAATGAATTTTAATTATAAAATTGAAATTTGAATCAAAATTATTAAGTTTGATCGAATTCATAATCAAAGTCTTAGCTCCGTCCATGCTCCCACATAGAGCTACAATGATTTTCTCCTCCCCTCTATAAAACTTTTCCTTTTAATTTTCAATGATATATATATATATATATTTATTTATTTTCTCTTTTAATTTCGGTAAAGAAATTTAAATCTCGAAAGTCAGATGAATTATTTTTTAACTGAAGTTTTTATATGTCTACTGAAATTCTAAATTATTAATTCACGACACTAATAGACAATTATTCATATTTGGATTTGCCTCCGAATCCCCCAGAACTGGGGTAGAAAATTTTGGCGCTATGTAATTTTTTTTTACTAGTATCATATATGGGTTGTCTAAATAAATTTTAAAAAAGTATTAATAATAAAAAAAGAATAATGTGACATGGCATCCCATTAGTAGAGATGATGTTTTTTTTGTGTCAAGTGTATTTTGAGGAAAATATGTAAAGTTGGGTGATATTGTAGTCCTAAAACAAACATAAGTGATATTACTAGATAATTTCCCAAATATGGGTGACTATCTAGGGAAATTACTCATTTTTTTTATATAAAGAACAATATAGTAATCTAGACATGCTATAAAATTTATGACAAGGTTTTCTCAAGGATTATTAAAGCATGAATATCATGGAGTATGTGATTTTCATGATTTCATAGTTTCACTCTTCAGTTATATATCTAATTTTGATATGGTTTTACTTGAGTCGAGTATCTATATAAAACACTGATTCATGAGAAATGTGAATTGTTGTATTACATGGGATTGAAACATATGTTTAACCAACAAAAAATTGATATGTTTAACACGCCCACCGTGGGGCTCGAACCCACGACCACAAGGTTAAGAGCCTTGCGCTCTACCAACTGAGCTAGACGGGCATTTGTGATTCACCCATTGTTATTTCCATTACTATACATTTACTTGCTATATTCTCATGGCAAACAACAGGTTTCAAAATAAATTTATAATCATGATAAATAGAGAGAAGAGTGAGGAGGGGGTCATAATGACAATTGTTTACCAAAAACACATTACAAAGGCTGCATATAGGAATTCGCTGCTGCTAACAACAGCATCATATGTAATCTCAGTAGCATGATAACTCTAGTTTAAGCAATTTAGTCACAACTTCCAATTGATGAGTACTCAATGGTTGCCAATGAGGAAAATTATGTAACAAATAGGATACTCGTGCAGCTTCAATGTTCCAACGCCACTGGTATTGATGGACTCAACCTGCTATCCTGTCTTCAGTATCAATGCAATAACACAGTTGTTAGAACAAGAAAGAGAGACAACAACAAGAGATTTGTGACTCGTGTACTAAAGATATGATATCGCAAAAAATAAAGCTAGCTATAAATGGTTGCAACAACAGTTACTAACTGAACATAGTTCTAGTGACTACTATGACACAGCAACAACTTGATGATTGAGATTTCAGACTTGTGTACTAAAGATATGATAAACACGAAAAATAGAGCTAGCTATAGATGGTTGGTTACATGGTGTAGAACTGATAGTTAATCATTTAGATCATTGTCTCTCTTTTATCTTTTCAAGAGAATCATGTGAAGATATAGATGCAACGTAACGATCACAGTTTCTTATATAGGCCATAAAGCAGATTTGCAAGAAAACTTTCATCTTGTCTGAAGTTAGTCTTAGAATGAAAGAAGTAGTTTTGGAGAGTCCGAGCAACATAGCTAGTAATAATAGGGTATTTTAACCGTCAAACTCTAACTGTTCAATAGACTCCATAACTACTTCACTTTATTAGTATATCACCTTTGAGTAAATCCATAGTTGAAAAAGAGAATGTCCATATATAATCACCTTTGAGGTAGATGAAAGGGTACCTTTGAGTCAACAGAGCAAGTATGAGGTTGTCCTACTATGTATATTTGATCACCATGACTGTTTTTACGATAAATATCCTGATTGCGGTGCCAAGTCCACAACGCATGAGTTGAATTTACCATCTGCATCAGTATGAATGGAGAAGAAGAGAGTGTTGAACGAAAAATAAAGATCGATGATAATGGTAATAAAGACGAAGGACTAAGTTAAGAGTGTCGACATGTCTATGGATCAGATGATAAAACACCTAAGCAAGTTGATACACAATCAACGCGATGACTTTTTTTTGTTGCATATGTTTCCTTTCAATCACTGCCTCTAGAATAAGAAAAGTAAGTAATACAGTTGAAGCTCTGGCTTTATACCTCCAGTATCCCGTGCCCCGAAGCTGCTCTCTCTATATGCACTCCATTCTGGTTGTCTATCCCAGCAAAATTTTCCTTTGGCAGGTCCACTGCTAAAGTTCATGTGACATACACCTCCAAATTCTGGAATGTTGTCACCTGGTGAAGGACATTTACCAGGATCATCTGCATGATCAGCGTCGACTTTCTCAATATTACCACCATCTCCGACTGTTATGTAAACAGGACCACATGGATCCAAAGTATAGTTGTAGACTCGATTCATTCGCTCATATGCATGTACCTGAGATAAGTCCTAATTGAAATTTTCTCAATCATTAATAGCCAGGATTAGGAGTATATTTCAACTTACATGACCGGAGAAAACTATATCAACGCGATATGTATATAGCATTTCTTCCATTTCCTGCCTCATGCACTCAAATTCTTGGTAGTGCGATGAATAGCTATTGTACCAAGGAGAATGCCATGCAGCCACCAGCCAAGGAGTCACGCCACGATCTACTTTTTCCAGATCATGCTGAAGCCAAGAATACTGAGCACCTGATATCAGTTTTTAAAAAAATACAGAATTTAGTAAGATCAGTAGGCAATAAGCTCACATATTTGCAGCATTATCTTTCTTTATGCAAGTATACCTCAAATATTAGAAGTTAACACGCAGTGAATTAAGCAATTTAATGACTTACTCGTCTGATTATAGTCAACGTAGGCTCCTAGCATGATGAAATGGATTCCTCCGGCATTAAAAGAGTAGTAAAGGTTACTATTAGAGCCAGATTCCTTTGAAGGAACAGAATATCTTGTCAAATACGATTGGAATGTGAGCCCTGCTGCTTGAGGTTCGATCTCATGGTTTCCTTCGATAACCATCATTGGAACTCTTGAGATTAACGGCTCCATAAACCTGAAACTCCAGTTTATTCAATTCAAACTTCTTCTCCGAAGCTTTTAAGCTTCTTTTCCATTTTCTAACAGTTCATTTTTCTGTCTCATAGGCATATATAATATGATGTTTAGCAGATTGTGGTTCATAACCACAATGTGTCTATTTGACAAAAACTCGGTGAATAGTGTAACTAGCATCAACATGAACCTCACACCTGAAACAGACAATTGCATAGAGCTAAAAAGTTTTAAAAGACTAAGGAGATTAGTTATGTGAGGAAAAGAATAGATGACCTTCCCCATCCATCCCATCGAGGTTGAAATGTTTCTCTTATTGGTGCATCTGGAAACTGACAAGAATAGCATGAAGCTCCTTTACCACCAGTGGTAAGGTATTGATTCGCGTAAGTTAAATCTCCAACCATCAATATCATGGAAGGATCATTCATTATGAGATGATCAATTGTTGTGGTTGTATTGCTTGTAAGACCTAAGTCACCAACAACTGCTATTCGTCGTGGATACTTGTTAGGTGCAGGCAATGGAAAGGTCTCAAATTCAAGTTCATCACTCATTGCTGCTAAAGAACTATCACCACACTTGTAGTAATACTTTGTTTCAGGTTCAAGACCTACAGAAGAAAAGAAATTACTTCATTGCAACATATACATCATTTTGTTAATCCTACACGTCAAAGACTCGTAATTCAGAGGCAACCAGTACCATGTATACATATATTCAGCTTCCACTATACTAACAGAATTAAGAATAATGAAAACATTTGCAAAAATGTGTTCCTTTCATCGACATGGATGTCAGTTTGAATCAGGAAAACAGAAAAAGAAGACAAGTGAGCCAAGGGAACATATGAAGCGACTCGATGCAGATAACCTTACCATCAATCTTCACATGATGAATGATGCCAGAAGTGTAGTTCCATAGTCCTTCAAATGGATACAATTGACTATAAACGACGGAAGCTCCATTTTGCTTCACTGTGTACTTCCCACTTTCCTTCCCATACCATACCTCACTTGCCACTGTTTTCGGATCGTGTGGAGTCACATTTAGACCAATCTGAGCTTCACCTAAAAGCAATCACAAACTACTTTATAACAACTTGAACACAATTCCTATAATGCAATTGATATACATCTTGATCTAAGATCTCTTAAAACCCATGGAAAGAATATGATAAAACTTGACTAAAGGAAACCAACATAAAAGGAAAAATAGCATACAACCATTCCAGAACCAAAAAGCCAAAAGCAACCATACAACAAACATTAATAAATCTAAGTTGTATGTAATGAGAGTGTAAAATGTGTACATGCTCCAGTCAGGGAGGATCTAGGAGGGGGCGAGGGTGTTCATCCGAATCCCAACAACAACATACCTAGTATAGTACCACTTAGTGTGGTCTGAAGAGGGTAGAGTGTACGCAAACCTTATCTCAATCTCAGTGCTGAGGTAGAGAGGTTGTTTTCGATACATCCACAACTCAAGGCAAAATCAGTCTTGGAAAAGGCATAATGAAAGTACAATAGACAATAAATAGTAACAAAAACAACAAACAGGAACAAAATAGTACTAAAACAAAATACAACTAAAACATCTGCACGAAATAATATATAGATTTTGAATCCCCTGAACACAAGACTAGAGGTTGGCTAAGTGGTTTAGCGGATTCAAAATTCACCTCGAGGTTCTAGCAGTTTATCCACCCTCTTACATGTTTAGTGCAAAACATTTACCTTAAATTTACTTTAAGTAACCAGATTGCATAAACACTATTAAATGTATTAAAGGTTAACTCATTAAGGGGTCGTGTGACAGAGTGTATAAGACAAACAAAATAACGCATGTATAGCTTTGTGTATTACTAGTACCTTGTTTAGTATTCTTTTTCAATCAATATATAACTAACACCTACTAGTAATGCAAGGGACTTTAATGCATGAATTAGCATGGTTAAAGACCCAATTACTCCTTGAAACCTTTTTATTTTATATCTTTTCCACCATAATTGTGGAGGGTATATTTGTAAATAAATATATTCCTTTGAAAAATTATGCAATGCATGTTATTTATAACACACCAAACCAAACAATGCATAAGAAATAATCTCAGCATAATTAGTGCAAGCATAACTAATACAAACATTACTAATACATTATATTTAGTATTATTCTTATACACCCTATCAAACAACGACCCCTGAGTACTTTGAAATTTGACCAATTAAATCCATCTAAGTGAAAATAGTGATATCTGAATTTGTGTACAATTCCTTGATCTTGGAATATTCCCCTAAGATACTATTCGAATTTGTATACATTGTTCCTTGATCTGGGAATATTCCCCTATGATTTGAAGTTTATATAGCAAATTAGTAATCTCAAGTTATTTTACTATCTTGATCTTAATTTGTTTGTCCGACTTTTCCTTTTAATGACATCAAAAAAGATGGTCTCTTTACCTTTTTTGTAACTCTTTAATTCTAACTTTCCACACTAATACTTTCTTAAACTCTGTGCAAAATCAAATCATTCAAACAAATTTTGTTTGAAAGGAATAATAAGTATACATGCTATGAGCAAAAATTACTAGCTTAAAACACTGGATCTGCACTGGCCACTAGCAATGAAGTGATGTGAACAAGATTTAAGAGCTAGATATTATTTTTCTTCAAAAAAGTAGCTACTCAAAGAAACAAAATTAAACATAAAATGGAAATCTCAATAACTCAGTTGATTGATTAACTGAACTTTCAGTTTTTCATTTTACCTTACGTAAGCCCTTACCCCCACACCCAATATTTTTCTTCAAAAAAACACAAAATATAGAAGAGTAACAAGATGATATACCAGTGATCCAAGAAATCCACATTGAAGATGAAGAAGTTGACAAAGCAAGAGCAATTTGTTCTGGAAAAAATGAAGTTACATTCCTCTTAAGCCTTGGATGATCCATTGGCAAATCATCACTTCCTTTATGCAATAAAGGATCAAATCTATGAGTTAGTGGCTTAAATGGTCCATCCAATGTTGTTGGTATTCTCTTAGCAACTATAATTACAACAAAAAATTGTAACCAAAGTGTAGTACAAATTTTCTTCATCTCTCAAAACTAGAATTTAGTTTAACAAAACATTCATGTGTTTCTTAAGTTGTTTGGAACACTTGAGCCATGAGCACAATTTGGATAATTTATTTTTTGTCTTTATCCATCGTAATTTTGTTAGGATTTTGCCCTGATTTTCTTACTTTATTTGAATTTTATTTTTTCTTAAAAGAAAAAACAAAGCATTACCATAAATGTTTTTTACTTTTTATGAATGAAAAATATATTTTTCTTTCATATTTGGTTTATTCTTTCTTTAGAGGAAAAATATGAAATTCTATAAATAAATTGAAGATTCATATTTTCATATCAAAACACAATAGAATATGAGAGATTTTCTCCTAAACATATTTATGTTATTTTTTAATATCAGTTTTCAATATGTAAGTCGCTTGACCAAATCATATTAATAAATATCTTTAGTATGCTTTTATTTGTCGTCTGATTTGTCAACCATATGATTTGCAATTGTAAGCTTCCGCATGTACCTCAATTACTTTCGAACCCAACAAATTTTAGATTTCGTGCATCTTGACTAATTTCACGCAATATATATCACTTTCCATCGGCAAACAAGTATCAAATAACTTTATCCACTATGACTAGGATAAATATGAAGAATTACCAAATATTTTTTGTCTCCACGTAAAAATTAAACTCAAAACTTCATAATTCTCAACCACTTCATTGACCACTAAACCACAACTTGAATGATTTATCTATCATAGTTATTAGCGGGCATCACTAACACTCACTATCAATCACTACTGTTTACTACTCCCTCTGTCCTCTTTAACTTGTCCAATTTTGACATTTTACTTGTCCCTTTTTATTTGTCATTTTTCAAGAAAAGATAATTCTCTCTCTGTCTCTAATTACTTGTCTATTTTTCTTTTTTTAGTTGTTCCTAATTTCTTGCCCATTTTGACAAATCAAGAAAGAACAATTTTTTTTTACCTATTATATCATCAATTAATTACTTTGAAAAATGTAGAACTTCTTGAAAATCTTAAGTTTTTAATTCATCAACTTCATAATTATTATGGGTACAATAGCAAACTCACTATATCAATTATTGTTTTCTTATTATGTGTGTCAATTCAAAAGTGGTCAAGTAATTAAGAATAGAACAAATATATTTTTTTTACATATTATACCCTCAATTTATTTAGAGAGTTAATGTTTTTGAAAAAGGTAGAACCTCCCTTTAATGAGTAAATTAATTTTAATATTTTATCAATTAATAGGAATAAAATGATAAACTTATTATATTAATTATTATTTTCTTAATAACTAAGTAAATTGGAACAGAAAGAGTACTTTTATTTGACACCATCGGATACCACATATTTCGACCGCCATTATCATTGATATTATCCTCCATCATATAATCTTTTTAAAATATTCTTTTATATTTCACTTCGTTCGGATTACTTGTTCAATTTTAACTTGACATATCTATTAATAAAATAATAATTAATATAATAAATTTATTATTTTACACTTAGTAATTGATAGATTTCAAACATATTTACTCACTATATTTTTTAAAGATATGAATACAAAGTTAATAAATTGAGAATATAATAGAATTTTTTTTTTTTTGTACTTTCTTGGTTTGTCAAAAATGACAAGTAAAAATAGAAAAATTTGACAAGTAAATCTAAAAAGAGGGAGTATTATGTTAGATTAATTAGTAGTATTTAATATGATTTTTTAAATTACTATATAACTTTTAAATAAAGATAAATTTTATATAAATATTATTATTTTTAAATCTTAATTAACTAATATTTAGATCTTAAATTTCATGTGTATTTAAATTTAAAACATCTTAATTATAACAAGTGTAATATGTGTTCAATTCATCGTTGTTAACTTATGATATTCTGAATAATGACAAGCTAACTCATAATCTACTCGCAGAAAATCAAAAAGGAAGGAAATCGAACAGCCTACAAATCAAGAAGGCATGGAGATCCAATAAGAAAAGGATTAAGTAGAACAATATAAATATGGAATGAGATAATACAAACATGGAATGAGATATGTTCTGATCCTTCCAACTCTACAAAAAAAAGGAAGGGCATAATCAAAGGATTCAAGAAATCATTAAGCAAGCCAAGAATAGAACCAAGTTGTCAAGAGAAGAAAGGAAAGCAGATCAAAGCCAAAAGTCAAGATGAATTCTCCAGCCAAGCATATAATCGAGTCATATCTATCAAGAAGGAAAGAATGCGATTTACCATGCACATATCTGATATGGACATGAATGAGCAAATCGCCTCAATCAAGGGATTCCTCAAATTCTTGATTAAATTATAACTCCCTTGGGTTGTCCTTACAAGAGCACAAGTTTGTTCATATAAATACCCTCTCAGACTTAGGAGTGAAGTATGCACTTCATTTGAACTTATATTATAATCTTCTTTTATCTTTCATAAAACTTTGTACACCCTTGAGTGAACAATTGAAAAGAAAAGAGAAAGAAGATCTGAGTGTAGGTTATACAGGTAGAGGTTGTGTCTAAGAAGAAGATCTGATTTGCATATCAGACGGGGATCTTAATCGTAACATTCTGTAACACCCAAGTTCTCAACAAGCTCTTAAGGAAACCCTTGTAACCCAAGGAGACTGGACTAGGCACCACATCGGTGATCCGAACCTATATAAAGACACTCTGTGTTATTTACTTACTGCAAGTTATTATTATTGTTTATCTGTTTTACTAACGTGCAGGTGAGTCGATTGACCAGAGTAGGAAGTCGACTGAAGGGAATTTCAATTCACCCCCCCCCCTCTTGACTTTCAATCGTCACCTTAGATTCGTCCATATGTTGATTAACAATTTTGGTCCAATATTAGGAGCCTAAAGCCAAACAGATAATCTAATGTTTCGTTTTAAAAAATAAATATCGTAATATACATTTTTATTAAAAGATTATATTTTTAGTTTATTTTAGATGCAAAGCCATTAATTATTATTTTATAATTAATTTTTTCTAACAATTTCTTTTCAAGGAAATTTTGTTGTATTTATAGCTTATGAAGTAAAAATATCAATAATGAGAATTTTCAATAAAAAAAATATAATATAAAATTAGAATAATAAAATTTGATAAGTTTATATAATAATATCAAAGTAGTGTTACGCTTCTGCTTACTGCAATGTTTGAAATCTTAAAAAAGACACTTAAAAAGATAAAATTTAATCTTTTTATAAGCACACAATTAGGGGTGGGCATGGTATGGTATGATATTTTAAAGTTTCGATATCGTAATTTTGGTATTCGATTTTTAAAACATTATATCATTATCATACCAATTTAGTTTGGTATTTTAAAGTTCGATTTCGGTATACTATGATAAATCGTTAGCCATAATTTGTTCAATTTTGACTAATATATACTCATATAATAGAGTATTATGACTTCGATAATTTAAAAAAAAGTCCCAATTGTATCATACTAACACATTACACATGTAGAAATATATATTCAAAATAAAGTACAAACAACTCCTTTTGTTAATAAATTACATTTCAATTAAAATAGAGTAGTCAAAGTTTCAACTTCTAAACATTTAGCTAGCGTTTGGCCATAGATTTCTAAATATTCTTGGCAAATATTATTTGGGTGAAATTTCACCATGTGTTTGGCCATAGTATTTGGGAAATATATTTCACTTTTTTAGAAAAATATGATTTATACCCATAAGTTTTAAAAACCATCAAAACTAACCATAAGTTTGTATTACAAGTCAATTGAATCTTCGTTGCAACAATAACAAATAGTGTCCATGACACTAGAGCAATGTGGTAGTTTGGAGTGAGTGCAACAAGCATCATTCCATACATCGTGAAGTAGACAAAACACATGACTTTGTTACCCTGAGCCGATTGTTCATCATTTTCATCAACAAGCATATCATCATTTAATATTCACTGAATATTTCATCACTACTTTGGTGTTCACGTGAAAAATTATGTAATACGACACAAACAACTACTATAGAGGGTGTTTTTGTAAAAGACAAAAGTTTGGGGTAAAATTTCAATTTTCAAAAGATCCCAAATAATGAGATTTGGCCCAAATACTAGAAAAAACTAGTATTTGGGAATTTGGGATATTTGTCAAAAATATTTGCCAAATAATGGCAAATTGTATGGACAAACACTATTTGCCAAATTTTCCCCAAATGTTATTTGGGAAATCTATGGCCAAACGGGCTAGTTATACTAAGACTAGGTTGCATATCTGTTAGTATTTTAATAATAATAATAATAATAATAATAATTAATATATATATATATATATATATATATATATATATATATATATATATATATATATATTTTGATATATTATTTCTAAATACCAAATACCGTATCGAATACCAAAAAAATTAAAATGTATACCATATGTCATACCAAATTAAATACCATAATATCAAAACCATGATATTAATTTTTTTGATATAATATGATAGTTCGGTATATACCATATCATGTCCACCCTTACACACACAACAAAGACTTTGCAGAAAATACTCTAATATGTTTTTTATGCTGCATATTTTAGATACTTTCTTAATATCTATGGTCAAACCTTCTTATTTTTCTTCATTGTTTTCGTCAAATCTAACAATCATAAATTATTAATCATTTATCAAAAACTAAAAGTGTTAATTTTAACAAACTCAAAGAATCAAAATTATTTTATGCATATTTAAGAGACTATTTTGAACCTATCCTAAAAAACCAAAACTGTTTTGTGCACTTGGTGATTGGTGAAAGTGATAAAATCTCACTGATGAATGCAATTTATAAAGCTCATTTGACAAAATGAGATTCATAAGCCAACTTCTTTGAGTGAAATTTATTTGCTAAATACAATTTATTTAATAATAATAAAAGAATAAGAACACTGAAAAAAGAAGAAGATAAATATACTATATGAATAATAATGGGTACTAAATATTACTCCCCCGTCCCATTTTATATGTCATATTTTTACTTTGCA